TTACTTGTTCAGATGACAATATACGGTGAAAATTCTTATTTGGGTCATATATTCCAAGATGTAGGCTAGAAACTGTGATTCTGAAGTACAGTAAATATCCACACCGGTGCAGTGACTGACTGCCACACATACTCCTCAAAACATTAGATTAGTCCGCGCTGGAGCCGTGCCGGTGCACAACCCACGCAAGCTAGATAATTCCGCACACAGCTGCAATTGCAGGTTTTCAAACAGAGATGGCAACAAAGAGGCAAAATTTACGGACTGCAGCTTTAATTAAGTTAACGCGTTAAACTGACAGCCCTAGTTTTTAGTCATACATTTTAATTTAAACATTTATATAAGTTTTCTGACATTAGTGGTAAGAGCTCAGTACTTCATAGAAAACATTGCGGGGGTTTGTACTATTTTTTTGAAGCTCTGGGTGGTTGCACAACTATGGCCTAAAATACATGATATAGCAATAGCAATGATGCTATGGTTGAAAAGTGAGAACCAGTTCTGATTCAGAACTACCAAACATACCAAAACCAAATACAGAGTTCTGGCATGAAACTCTAGATGGTGCAGTCCGATAGGTCTAGCTCAATCTGAACTATGACATCATTATCACATGGCACAGCTGATTGGTTCTCTCCTGTATCGCTAGCCAATGAGCGAGCTGCTTACCATGCCAATCCCTCCGAGAGTTGTCATAACAGAAATTATTTTAATGATGTTTTGTTCCAATAGCAGTTGTCAAACATCTGCTTTCATTCGCCAGTTTGGACGAAACATCATACTAAAAGAGAGCAAGTTAATTATTAAATAAAATGTCTACAATAAGAATTATTTTTGATTTTATTATTTTAAATTATTTTAAATAAAAAGCACTCAAGGCCGTGTCATATTTTGAATATATTCTCAATACATACATATTTTATAAGTTAAAGTGGTTAATAATGCCAACAATGAAAAACTATGTAAACATTATTTTTGAAAGTTGTCAATTAAACAAAGATTATTGGAGCATATGTTGTACAAGAAAATACTATTTCAGTTTTTCTACTTCAAAGTTGTTTAATTCAATGTGCAACTTGCCATTTCTTTGTTTACAATGCTTATCTTAGTAATTATTTGTGACATTTACTAGCAATTATGGAATGAAAATTATTTTAAAGCCATTTTTACAAAAATGTTGGATTTACATCAACATATCTTCCTGTAACAAACATGTACAATGACTAAGACAAATATAGCCAACTTGTACACTGTCATCAGTCCATTATAGAGATTCCAATCATCTCTGAATAAAGCTCCTGTCAGCAACAAGCCCCCACCTCCAGGGAACAAAGTGGTTGCATAAAAGGGTCTCATTTGTCCCACACTATTAACCTTTGAAGCAGGTGATTCATGCGGTGGTGTGACAGCCAGTCCCTCCAACTCCCACACGGAACATGAACACTGGTGGGAGTTTGTGAGTGTGAACAATTCTTTGCATTTAAGTGTCTTCATTCTCTCTCTCTCTCTCTCTCTCTCTCTCTCTCTCGCTGTCCTCTTCTGATAAGACATGTTTGCAGCTGGTAATGTGTTACAGATCATCACACACAGCTCTGAGAAACCACATATGAGCTATTTCCTCTTTCACACGCAAGATACGTGTCAGTGTGCGTGAGCATTTCCACCTCAAACGCATCTGATACTCCATGACATATCTGTGGGGACGTAGGCATCGTTTTGAAAAAAGAAAACCAAAACATTACCAAAAGAACATTAACTTCTAGGCTTTTTGAGTGTGCAGAGGACAGGATTGCTTTTAACACACATAGCTAAGCTAACAACCTTTAGCTTTTGTGCTTTGTGCTGTAGTAGTCTCAGCAAAATGACGTTTATTGTACTGTATGTTCTCTGTTGTAACAATTTCTATTGGCTCATATTTAGGCTATTAAATGTATACTAAGTATAGATGTTAAACCTAACACTAAATCTGTGTTCTAAACCCGAGTGAGCTGCAATGCTGTCTACTGCCTACACAGGCAACTGCCTTCCAAGACAGCATGCTAACATTCACAGAACCACATAGACATCAACTCAACACACAAAAAGAGCTCTGCACAGAAGCTTAGCATGTTGCTAAGCTAACAACACTATACTCAAAAAATATATAACATAAATATTAGGGGAAAAAAACTACAAAAATATTTTAAACAAAAACAAACTTTTAAAAATACCTAATGAAATACACATATATTATCAATATTTCTCCTGCTTTCTCCACCATCTTGGATTCAGTCTGACTTTAATTTGGCCAAAATGGGGTATTATGAGATTGCCCGTTGTCAAGTTTCACATTTTGATTAATAAAATGGGCTTGTTTTGCCTATTTTATCAATCAAAATTTGTAATTTGACAGACTTACACTGAAGCAGGAAACCAAGCAATATCTGGACACAAGAACATCACAGAGAATTAGTGATTGGATCTTTTGACTTAAAGGGATAGTTCACCCAAAAATGGAAATTACCCCATTATTTACTCACCCCCAAGTCATTCTAGGTGTAACTTTCTTCTTTCAGATGAATACAATTGGAGCTATCCTAAAAAATGTCCCGGCTCTTCCAAGCTTTGATGTTTTGAAGCATGGCAGCTGGTTTGAGCTGTTTATAAGCTGGTTATGAAATGGTCCTGAGCAGGAGCTTGTTGCTTAGGAACAGCACGTGACCAGCTTAAACCAGCTCAAACCATGCTTCAAAACATGCCAAACCAGCATATGCTGTTTTTTCAACAGGGAAGGCCTTTATTAACCCCCCAGAGCTGTGTGGAGCACTTTTTATGAAGGATGGATGCACTTTTTTGGACTTCAAAAACTCAAAACCCATTCACTGCCATCATAAAGCTTGGAAGAGCCAGGACATTTTTAATATAACTCTGATTGTATTCGTCTGAAAGATTAAAAGTCATATACACCTAAGATGGCTTGAGGGAAATCATGGGGTAATTTTCATTTTTCATTTTGGGTATCCCTTTAAGTCCTGTTTACAAAGGACAATAAATATAGTGATAACTATAAATATTCTATGAGAAGTCCACCCCACAACTATAATGATAATGACACAGGGGAACAGTATCATTGGGATCACTTACAGAACACTTTTTTTCTAGATGTTGAACAACAAAAACACTGACAGTCAATCAGAAACACCTTTAAAGAACTGACAGTTGGCAAAACTGCAGCGCATGCTCAAAATAAACAACATTATCGTCTATTGATGTGGACGCTAATATAGTTATCATTATAGTTACCGCTATAGTTATCACTTTTGGTTTGAACAGGCCTTTAGACCAGTAAAGATCCACCTATCAACACCCTCAGCATGTTTTGGCTACTTCTGTACAGGCAAACACCACTTATATTTTCTTCAGAAAATTGTTCAGTGCCTTTAAAGAAAAAAAATTTCAACATTTTACCCAGTATTTGTGCTATTTAAGATTTACAGTAATGTATTGTTAGCTTAGCAACATGCTAACTTCAAACTCGGTTTGAAAGTGTTGAGTTCTTCAGAAAATGTAGCTTTAAATTCTAGTTGCATTTCATGTTTGAACAAACAAAGCTGGTCCTTTATTAATATAAAGTAACTCCCCGTGAACGTACAGCGGTGCTATCAGTCCCATTCTCAGTTAACAGTCCTGCAAGAGAGGTCAGGTATCTCATCTAATCCAGGGTGCGTCATAGAAACGGTGCCTTTGAGTGGGCCACAAAGCTATCCAGGCAGATGGCTGAGCCTGTTACATATTGCAAACAATAACCAACATCTGTCTTTCTGCCGTAGCCAGTAGTACCTCAACTAGGAGGTGTCCATGACAAAAAGGAACAACCTTTCCTAATTACAGGAGGATGCTTTTCCAAGCTTCCCTGAAAACAGTTTTATGGCCTTTCTTGTACATATTCAAGTTTTTATATGACAGATAAACGCCAAAGGGTGACTTTCACCTGCAACCTATAACAAGGGGCGAGACATGGTAGGAACCTGGGTGTAAGACTACACCTTTCCTGAATGTTCACGCAGTTTAGCACTTCCTGTCTGGATGGATTTGCAACTTCCTTCTGCTGAAATGGTAGAAATGCTGTTATTATAACAGTTTTTTGTGCATTAGTAAGTGTTAGGCTTGCCTGTTGTGGCAGCTTTTAAGGGGAGTGTGCTTTTTTCAGAGAGAACAAAATATGACTCAATAATGAGAACCGGTGCCAAGGGAAAAGAGGGTGGGGGGCCCTCAGGTTTTTGTTAAGTGTACTCTAGATCCTTCCTATATTTTACAACTGATATGTCCTTTTTAAGATTATTGTAACAATATGATATGTTAAAGCGATTGAAAAATGTCCTGTGTTTTGTTTGTCCATAAAATGAAAGTCAGTGGTATTCAAAACCCTTGACAGCCCTAAAAACTTCCAAAAGAGGGGTTTTGCAGCGATGCCATAGAAGAACCATCTTTGGTTCCTCAAAGAACCTTTCAGTGAACAGTTCCTAAAACAACCACTTTTTTAGTATGAAGAAAATTGTAAAAATCTAAAGAACCTTTTTTTCTCCATAAATAACCTTATGTAGAATGGAAAGGTTCCATGTTAAAGGTTCTTCGTGGAACCATAGATGCCAATAAAGAACCTTATTTTTAGGAGTGTATGAACAAAAACAGTTTAAACATTCTTCAAAATATCGTATTTTATGTTCTGCAGGAGAATTTGAAACAACATGAATTTTCATTATAGGTTGAATGATCCTTAATAACAGTTTTGATATAATACCTTGGATGCATTTTGTTATTGTCCAGTGACATGAAAAATCAGAGAAGCTTGTCATCTGTCAGGTAAAACATTTTTGTTCCCAAACTCTAGCTCCCCAGCTGTTAACCTGTCCTGTAAATACCCTCGGGGGACGGTCCATATAACTTAACGGCAAGTCAACAACCCACAAAAGCTGGAAGCGATAACAAAACATCCTCAGGCAACCCATCATATCACTTACCTTCCAAGTTCTTCACCAATATCATAGAAATCCTCCACTTTTTGTTGCTTGAACACAGCCATTCCTAATGTCCTCATTGATGATGATTGTGTCTCGGTAAACAGGGGACAGCAGGTCAAATCTGTCTTAAGGTGTCCCTCGAGAAGCACACAGGCTTAGGGAAGTTCTGCAGATTTGTAGGGTGCAGCTCTGAAAGTCACAGGCACTCACATAAGCACTTGTTCCAGCATGCTGCACTACATTCCTTCACTTCGAAGAAGGTGTAAGAGCATGTATCTCATCTTTCTCACTTGGACGTACTGTATAAGGCAATGTGAGAATGCCACAAAATATACAGTTTTGCTTACTGGTGATATAAGGTATGAAGGCACCAGACAAAAAGAGTCTTATGTAGGATAAAATTGATGTATCAAGTCATTAAAAGTGATCAAATGACTTTCTTTAGAAGAAAATGAGGGTTCAATGTCATGAGAATTATCCGGTGAAATTTAGACTGCTGTCAGCATTTGTTTCATCATATACTGACTTACTGTTTCATTGTTATATAAGTAAAGAATATAAACTATATTGATAATATCATGATAAACATTTACCTTACAGGTGTAAGAAAACACACTGTAGGCTACTGTTGTTTGTTGTACTCTATAACTAAGCGCAACATAATAACCATGAGAAACATTCACACCATAACATCGCTTCCTATATCATTGCTCACAAGTTTTACAAGACACACTGAACTACAAGAAGAAGTAGCTTTGACACTTTAAATGAATAAGAAAATGTGGGTTGTCTTACCTTTTCTTTTAAGAAATAACACTTATTTTACTGTATTCCGATGATATTTGTAGCATATTCCCGGGTTTAAGCGCGTCTCTCGCGCAAGTCGCGCTGTTGAACTGAGACCGGAGGAGCGCACGCGCTTACGTTGTCAATCTCGCGCCACCTGTTGAGCGCAGCGGTGATGTCAGATTGGCGATTCTTTCCAGTGAATCAGTTGAACCGGTTCAAACCAATAAAGTCTCGTTCAAACACACCGGTGTAAACGAGTCGTTTAGGAAAAAGGCATAGTTGAGCTGTTTTCAAATTAAGATGCACTTAAGTTTGATTTAAGTAGAATTAAAGAAGTAGGCCTAATTCATCTTTTTTTAATCTAATGAACATTTTAGTCTGACTGAAGACGTATCGACTCGATTGTATCTCGGCATGTTTAATACTTGGACATGCTAATACTTGGACAGACAGATGAATAAGTAAATAAATAAACAAACAAACACCACTGTATTGTAAACTTACACACGACTGACTTTCGGAGAACGGACTTTCGAATGAATGGAGAACCAAGTGAATTGATATATTTGGAGAGAACCAAGAGTTTGACAAGTGCGGTAAAAAAAAAAAAAGTTATTATAATAGCGGAAATGTTACAAATAATATGTTCTGTAAATTGGGATTTGAGACAAGCTGTTCAAACTGTTCGAAAGAACCGAATTGAGGAAAGAGTCGGACTTTCTTTCATATTTTTGAACATATAAGTCATGTCCGAATCGCGAATGAGTCGTTCATGTGATTCGGTTCCTTTACGGTGATTCAGTCAAACCCGGTTATCACCATTGGATTTTGATTTGACAGAACACGCTGTGAATGCTGGGGTCTGGGATATAAATTAAAAAGTAACTATTGTTAACTATTATCGCCATCTGCTGGACATGTTAAGCAACAACAGAGGTTGCATCTGTGTGAGACAGACTAAAATAGTCGACAAATATATGGGTAATATGGGTATTGTATTTTTTACATGAAAATTACATACAGCCTGTGTATTATTAACAGTAGCCTATATTTTAGATCCTGCACAATTTAATATTTTAATATTATATAACCATTACAAAAACAGGAAGAATTTACCCCTCTCTATTGTTGTGCTTATGCAGTATTTCCTGTAGAAAAGATGTAGAAAGACCTTTGCAGCTGTTGTATTGTTTATGGAGGAGGCTACGGAGATGTTTAAGAACTACACAAACAAAATTAAAACAATTGTATGCAATAGAAATTTATTGGATGATCATGCATAAGTAAAAAAAAAAAAGAATCAGAATTGGAGGATTATGATGTCACAGAACAAGATTCAGAAACATAACAAATAATTCCATAATTTTGTATACGCACAAAGGCCTGTGCAACGCATTGCGTCGAGCAACAGCATCAAAGACGGTTTGAAATCATAGCTTACTCGCTGAAGACATAAGACAACTACTATAGCTCATATAACATACTTGACGGCTAAATAACATGGAAAATACGAAAGATTATCTGGACAACGAATGTCCTAACAAGTCTGAGACTGCAATTTGTAAAAACAGAATGAAATATGCAAACGGGCTTAGTTTGACTTAAAAAAAAATTTAAAAAAAAAAGAATAACACATTTCTATTATAAGGGAATTGTGGGTGACAAAATCTACATGCAAAAACATGGCCATTATGAGAGACCGGCTCTCACAGTAAAACCAAAAAGCATCAGTTTTACATTTTTGTTCGTCTTGACATTTGCAGTCATACTAGCAGGTGATAAAATGTATAATGTGTATTCAATACCATTATGAAATGGAGTAAAAGATATATCAACTGCACTAAATGTACTTGCGCTGATATGCACAGCTTTTCCAAGCATACATGTTTGTAACACATGACATACATTCCCTCATTAGACAGACCCTTATGGGTCGTTACTCCATTTTTAATTTTAAGTGAATTTCAGAAACAACATACAGTACAACACGAACACTTTCTTGGAACCTTTGAGAAAAACAAACAAGCAAAACCTCAAAATTTGAGCAGCTTCAGGATTCGCTGTGGATTTTAGACTGACAGCAAATGTGCATTTTGCATCTAGAACCTAAATACACAAGAACATGCTTGTGAAATATGTTAAAAAGTCATGTGATATGGCAGGGTTTGGTAATCAGGTCCTGAGCAGACAGGAAGTACTGGTAGGTAGATCTAACACATATTTGCGTTTTGACAGTGAATTTAGTTAAACTGAGTAAAAGTACCGAATGTTTAGAAAGAGGGCAGGCCTCGAAAACTTGAATTCTATTTATATCAAATATAATACAAGTACTGATATGATTATTACAAGTAAATGAAGTTTAATAAGTACGGCTGGAAGAAAAAGTGGTGGTGTCCAGGATTGTACATCCTAATATGTCCAGCATAATGTAAGTGTATAAGAATTTTGACACTTGTCCAATCCGCACCAATCATTACTACCTAAATGCAAAGTACTTTAGTTACTTGAATACTGATTTTGGTCAATGTACAAATGGATGAAATACTGGACAAGACAATGAAAAAAAGACCACCATTTTGATTAATCCAAAGGAATACTGTTCTTTGGTCTCTCGAAGTCACAGTTTGTTGAGTGAAATACGCTAAAAAAGAAAAGAAAAAAGAATAAGACACAATGTGATTGGCTAATCAGCTTTGCAGGTCTGGTGTCTTATTGGCTATGGTTCAGCTGTCCTCCTCGTCGTCACTGATGAGTGTGCGGCCGTCCAGGGTGGTGTCTCTCTCCCGCAGGAAGGTCTGACGGATGGCTTCCAGCTCGGTGAGCTCCAGACGGACCTTCTCCAGGTGGAATGTGCGGCGGTTCTGGATCTGCCTCAGTGGGAATGGGTTCATGTCCACAAAGGCCATGCTCATCAACTTCCTATGAGAAACGCAAGATCATATGTGACCCTGGACCACAAAACCAGTCATAAGGGTCCATTTTTTAAAACTGAGATTTATACATCATCTGAAAGCTGAATAAATAAGATAGGACGATATTTGGACGAGATACAACTATTTGAAAATATGGAATCTGAGGGTGCAAAAAAAAAAATCAAAATATTGAGAAAATTGCATTTAAAATGGTCTAAATGAAGTTCTTAGCAGTACATATTACTAATAAAAAATTAAGTTTTGATATATTTACGGTAGGAAATTTACAAAATATCTTCATGGAACATGATCTTTACTTAATATTCTAATGATTTTTGGCATAAAAGAAAAATTGATAATTTAGACCCATACAATGTATTGTTGGCTATTGCTACAAATATACCCGTGCTACTTATGACTGGTTTTGTGCTCCAGGGTCACATATATAACATAAGGTAATAAATAAATTACAAATATAATAAATAATAGATCATGTTTATGCAAAAAGGTAGTTGACATGAAACAAATTGCTTTCCCAATTCTGACAAATCAAACAGCAAAGTACAATATATTATAAACAATAACTGAAACTACAAATGAAATGTTTCCAAAATATTTCAAAGCATTTTTAAGGAAAAAAATAGATCATATATAATAAGAATTTACTATAATAATAAAAAAATAAATAATAATAATAATAATAAATTATTATTATTGTTACAAATATTTAATAATAATATAAATAATAATTTAATAATAATAATATATTATTCAATGTATTATTTATGATAGATAGATAGCGTTCCTGCAAAAAATACATAAATATTTATAATATATTATAAACAAATAGATATTATCTGTGTACTGCATTATTATTATTATTATTAATAAATCAGCTGACGTGTATCAAGTTGTTTTCCCAACGCTGATGAATCAAACCCACAAATCGAAATGATTACAAAATATTTAAAAACATTTAAAAAAGAGAATATAAATGAATAAGCATAATTATAATAAATAATAATAATAATATAATATTATTTGTGTATTTATTCTTGTAAATAACAAGTCCAAAAATAAATAAATAAAATAAATGTAGCCACTATAAATTGTATAGTATAATAAGTGAAATAAAGTGAAAATAATAACTAAAAAAGTCTTTAAAAGTGTTTTTCATGATCATTTATTGCTATCCCTTACACCAGAAGCACAAACCTTGCATCCAAGATTGTACGTGTGAAATACCGAAGGTACTTGAAAATGGTCATGGTATCCTGGAGCTTTAGAAATTCTTCTTCTTTGTATTTGAAGAGTGCAAGAGCAAATCTGAAAATGATCTAAAAAGAGACATCAAAACATATCAGCACACATGGAGTCCTGCCACCCTGAAACAACCAGACAAATGTGACTCAGTAATAAGAAAGGAAAGTATTAAAGTATTATCTAAGTGTCTGAGGATTTACAATGCTCATTTTAGATTTGTCAGTAATCTCATGTCATCTGTATTGTGGTTATATAAACTATTACTTAGACAAAAATGAATAACTCCCAGGCTTCAAGGGAAAAGTATGCATCAATGGCATACAGTCAGTGAACAGCTGTTTGATTTATAAGTTCAGTAGTATTCTATGTTGAAGGTCCATGTCTACATAATTCTCCATACCTTGGGTCCCTCATAGAGAAAAGCGTCCCAGATCTTGAAGAGGATATCACTGACCACACTGTCCACAAACACAACCAGGAACCAGTTGAAGGTGATGAGAGAGGTGTCCACCTTATAATGCTCAAAATGAGCATGAAGCCTGGGTAACTTCTCGCACATCAGGTCCTTCAACACACGCTGATCTACCTACATCAAAAACAATCAATTCAGTCGCCATTAGCAGGTCTGGCAAAAGCTCATTTTGGACTCTGCTGCAGTCACACGGCAGCAATGAAAAGCCGTCACTAGCAGCGTGCCAATAATGTGGTTTCAATTGAAAAGCACTTGGCTAGTTACTCTGCATACGAACATGCGGTTAGTAACCGGAATCTAAGGTAAAACATGACACTGTTCATGTTGCATAAGGCCCAAATGTGGTAAAGTTTGCTCAACAAGCATGTTCATGTCTTGTCGATGGAAAGGAGCCTGAAAACTCAAAGTCATTGTGACAGATGACAGAATAGAAAAGAGATGTGCCGTTAGCCTGCTGCTAGTCAGTCATATCCAGCAAACAAA